AATCTCTCTCCGATTTTTACCGTCTTTCTTCGATTCTTCTTAGTTCCAGATTTCGTCCCCTTCCTTGTTCATTGCGCCAGGAAAATGTAGCTTCTGATTCCGATTTGCTTCCCAAGGGTGTTTTCTCGGAGTCCCGGAGCGGAGACAGCGACGGGGAAGTTACTGATTCGGCGGAGAATCGATTGGTTTCGGATACGGAGGTTAAAGGATTAGGGATGACCGATAAATTTGTAGGTGGCGAGGAGACAATTGAAGCCAGCCTTGCGGCGGAGACGAAAAGTGAAGGAGGAAACTCTGAGGTTAGTAATGGAGTAACGGAAGGTAAGGAGGAAGACCAGAAGAAGAGCAAGTTTAAGATTGTGGTGTTGCTGATGGGACTATGGGCGGCTATAAAGAGAACCATAGAGAAGGTTATGGAGTGGGAGTGGCTAAGCTGGTGGCCTTTCTCTCGCCAAGAGAAGCGGCTCGAGAAACTCATCGCCGAAGCTGATGCCAATCCCAAGGACGCGGCTTTGCAAGGAGCTTTATTGGCTGAGCTAAACAAGCACCTGTATGCAATTTCATTAAACTTTGATTGATTGGTTGCTTAATTTAGGAGTTTAGTTGTAGTTGAATTCGATTGCTCGTCTTAATCGATTCTCTGTGGTGTGATGTCTTCATTGCTTCAGTCCTGAGGCTGTAGTTCAACGGTTCGAACAAAGGGAACACGCAGTAGACAGTAGAGGAGTTGCTGAATATATTCGAGCTCTTGTCATTACAAATGCTATTGCGGAGTATCTTCCTGACGAACAGACGGGGAAGCCATCTAGTCTTCCCACATTGGTATGCTCTTACATGCCTGCTTGTATCATGACTGCTTCCTAGAATCTGTTGTTCGGTGGTCTACTCTTCGATTACTGAATTTGATATGTCTGATTTGTCTTCTGCTTGATTCTACTCTCCATTTAACTGTTATTCGTACCTCCAATCAAGACATGTCTCGTTACCTGATGCTTTTGTTCACGGGACTCAAAGCCAAAATGCTCCTAGTTGTCTTTGTTTATAAATTAGTCCTGTTGTATTTGTAATAATTATTGGTTTATGTGCAGCTGCAAGAGCTAAAGCATCGTGCATCAGGCAATATGGATGAATCATTTGTGAACCCTGGTATATCTGAGAAGCAACCGTTGCATGTTACTATGGTAAGTTTCTCTTATATACCCATCTGGTTAGGTATAGAAAGTGAGGATTTTCATAGGTTCAAAATTGGTTCCATATATCTTAAGTTATTAACTCATGTATATGCTTTGTTAGGTTAATCCGAAAGCTTCAAACAAGTCAAGGTTTGCGCAAGAGCTTGTCTCTACAATCTTGTTCACAGTTGCGGTGGGATTAGTGTGGTATGCATCATCTGTGTTTTAGTTGAATTTTATTTTTGTGAAAGATTAATTTAGATACCACAGGCAGAAATGTTGCTTCTTATGTATAGTTGAACTTGTTATTGCTTCTCCATTTTATTACTGTTGTTCCAGAAAATGAAAGTTCCTTGTTTAGGTTAATGGGTGCAGCTGCTCTTCAAAAGTATATTGGAAGCCTGGGAGGAATTGGAACTTCTGGTGTTGGTTCAAGTTCTTCATATTCCCCAAAAGAGATGAACAAAGAAATAACACCAGAAAAGGTAAGCAGGAAATTCATAGCTTTAGTTACAGTGGTCAAACGTATAGTAAAAGAAGGATTTGCAAATTAGTTGCATAGTAGCATCCTTCTTACCTGAGATAATTATTTTCTGGATCCTTGATCCTCTCCGTATTAATGCTAATTCACCCAATGAACAATTTAATAGTTCTGTTCATGTAGCCCTTGAAGCCAGTGAATTTGTAAGAGCATATTCATTGTGTCTTTTCCTAATAAGTTTACTTGCTGCAGAATGTCAAAACATTTAAGGATGTAAAGGGTTGTGATGATGCAAAACAAGAGCTTGAGGAGGTGGTAGAATATCTAAAAAATCCATCAAAGTTTACCCGCCTTGGAGGAAAGTTGCCAAAGGTGTAGTCTCTTTGGGTTTGATTATTATATTTTCTCAATTGCATATAACTTTGCATTTGGTTTCGTCGTTTCTATTGAACGCCATAATCTATTTAAAGTTAGCATTCTGACATGAGAGTTGGGACATTTCTTAAATGTTTGCTTCCAGGGAATTCTTCTAACCGGTGCACCTGGTACCGGAAAGACATTGCTGGCTAAAGTAAGTTTTCACATAGCGTTAAATTGTCATCTCTTGTTGAATAAGGTAGTTATCAAAGAGTTAATCATTTCATTGGTGTGTGCGCCTTTCAGTCAAATCCCGCTTAATCATATAACTCTTAGTAAGGTACCAATACTTTAATTGGTTGCAATTAGCTGACACAGTTTCAATTTTTAAGGCGATTGCTGGAGAAGCTGGAGTACCCTTCTTCTATAGAGCTGGATCTGAATTTGAAGAAATGTGAGCGTTCTTCTAGTTGTCTTTCTCTGACATATGTTTTGAGCAGCATTATTTATAACTGTTTATTACCAACTAGTGGCTTCTTCAGTAATGGATAATGATGTAAAATATCATATCTTCCTTGATTGACAGGTTTGTTGGGGTAGGAGCTCGGCGTGTGAGATCCTTGTTTCAGGCAGCTAAGAAAAAGGTCTGACTCAATCTGTTACTGCTATTGTACTATTTCCAAAGAGTTATGTTGGTTAGGCTGGAAAACCTCTTACCATGAGTGAAGTTCTATTTGCTGACAATCATGTGTTACAGGCGCCCTGTATCATTTTCATTGATGAAATTGATGCTGTTGGGTCCACGAGAAAACAATGGGAAGGGCATACAAAGAAGACATTGCATCAACTACTTGTTGAAATGGATGGTTTTGAGCAGAATGAGGTACTTATTGATGAGTGTTGTGTACCTTGTGATTACTTTCCCTTGTTTGCTGCAATATAATAGTACTTTTGTTCTTTTTTTATGTGGTTACGCAGGGAATAATAGTTATGGCTGCAACAAACTTGCCTGATATACTTGATCCAGCCCTGACAAGACCGGGTAGATTCGATAGGCATGTAAGTTTCCAGCTTCCTATGACTCTTCTTTCTATTTGTATTAGCACTGACAATGAAAGTTCATTCTAGTTATCAGAAAATGAAGAGGTGATACCTTTTTCCTTGTATTGAGAAACCCCCTGTTTTTGATCCAACTGTTTGAGGATTTTGTGTTATATTTTGCACATTTGGTGTTCGATTAGTTTCCATCTGTATATTTTCAAACAGAATTTAGATAGGTGTGCTGCTATATTATGAAAATTATTTCGGATTTTGCCAGAGGAAGAGAAATTCCTAACAAATTTGATTTTAGATTGTTGTCCCTAGTCCGGATGTCCGTGGACGCCAAGAGATTTTGGAACTCTACCTCCAAGGCAAACCTATGTCAGACGATGTGGATGTTAAAGCAATTGCTCGTGGAACTCCTGGATTCAATGGTGCTGGTGAGTATCTTAAATCTATAACTACAAATTAGTCACCCTTAAATTCTGTCAAATTGTCTTTGTCTTCTTTTGTTATTGAGCTATGAAGATTCAATGACTCGCCACATTTTCCCCAATCTCACCAAAACAATTTCCAGATCTTGCAAACCTGGTAAATATTGCTGCCATAAAGGCAGCTGTTGAAGGGGCTGAGAAGCTATCTTCTGAACAGTTGGAATTCGCAAAGGACCGAATAGTTATGGGCACAGAGAGGAAGACGATGTTCGTATCAGAGGACTCAAAAAAGGTATATCCAATACCCGAGTATAAAAGTGTTTGGATGTGTATTTCAAACCATGATGTGACCTCTCACTTGCTTCTTTGCCTCTTAGCTCACTGCGTACCATGAGAGTGGTCATGCCATCGTCGCTCTAAATACGGGAGGTGCACACCCGATTCACAAGGCAACTATAATGCCACGTGGATCTGCGTTGGGAATGGTCACACAATTACCTTCAAATGATGAAACATCAGTGAGCAAGAAGCAGCTATTAGCTCGTCTTGATGTATGTATGGGAGGAAGAGTTGCAGAGGAGCTCATCTTTGGTCTAGACTATATCACCACTGGAGCGAGTAGTGATCTATCCCAGGCCACAGAACTTGCACAATATATGGTAATCTCCTGCCACAAACATTAGTAGATACATGTGATCAATTGCTTCCTTTTTTTCCTGGTTTGTCAAAAGAGTTAGCCGTTGGTTCTATTAGTTTTCTGGAATTAGGTTGCAGTGATTTAGTCTCTAATATCGTAAATGTTAAATTACAAGCTAATGGCAAGAGGAAATTTCCACTGTAGTGTAGAGTTTTGGTAATGGATCTTTCCTCTCGTAGTAGTTGTAGTAATGCTTTTGGTTTAATACTGAAGGTATCGAGTTGTGGGATGAGTGAGGCAATAGGACCAGTTCATATAAAAGAAAGACCAAGCTCTGATATGCAATCGCGCATAGATGCAGAGGTAGGAACTCTTTTTATTCATTTCTTGTCGTTCCTCTTTCAAATCCCATTGCCCTAAAGTCTGATCATTCATCTGGTTGTGTTGAACTTTTGGTCAGGTTGTGAAGCTTCTTCGTGAGGCATATGAGCGAGTGAAATCTCTCCTGAAACGGGTTTGTTTGTGCCAAGTTTTGTTTGTTTTTTTTACCTGATGAAAACCGTTTAATAAAGTCGCTTCCTAACTTTTTGTTTTTGTTTTCCCAGCATGAGAAGCAGCTACACACATTAGCAAACGCACTTCTAGAGTATGAAACGCTAACGGCAGAGGACATAAAGCGTATTCTCCTTCCAAACCAAGGAGAGAAGTTACAGGAGCAACAAGAAGAACAAGGAGACTTGGTATTGGCTTAGTCTCACATCATTCATTATATCATAAACACACCTGTTTGGGTGAACAAAAAAAGGGAGGTTCAAAGCTTTGTACAGAGTAAATCTCCCATTGCTTTTCTAC